TTCCATGTGATCTTTCTCAAATTGCTTGTTATTGGTATATAGAAAGGCGATGACTTTTGTAGGTTAATTTTGTAACCTGCCACTTTACTAAACGTGTTAATTTCTAGTTTTCGGGTGGAATTTTTGGCATCTCTTAGATATAATATTATACCATCTGCACAAAAGGTTAATTTAATCTCTTTTCCAATTATTACTTCTTTTATTTCCTGCTCTTGTCTTATTGCTCTTGCAAAAGTTTCAAACACTATGTTAAAGATAAGTGGAGATAGTGGACAGCTTTGTCTGGTTCCTGATTTCAATGGGAATGCTTCCAGTTTTTCTCCATTTAGAATGATGGTTTATCTGGGCCAACTGTATGGCCTTAAACACCCAAAAGGAAAGTATAACCAAAGATTAAAGGGGCCAATATAATTTCTTAAGAGTCCATATGCATAGCTAAAGGCTACATAACAAGCAACAATGCCAGACAGGTAATACTTTGAGTTGTTGGCCAGGGTGGCCAAAGGGACTCCCAGATAGTAACCCAGCATAGAACTGGGAAAATGAACAGCAGATCCCAATCTTATCTAAAGGAATATTGACAACTGATTGCTGTTAGATGAGGAACAGCTGACCCTCCTAAAACAAAGCCCTCTAGATAGGCTGACTAGATTCACCAGAAGGGCAAGTAGATTGGAATGGCTGGGGGTGCCGACAACACAGCAAACAGTAACAGGGATATCAGAGTATAAGGGCTCTAGTGGGGGGAGGGAGGCTGTGGGAGGGTACCATCTGGGAAGTGGGTAGAAAAATAAATAAATTAAAAAAATAATTCATCAAAGCATAAAAATTTGCTTTTTAATAATTAGTAGATGCGAAAAACATTACCATTGAAATTTACCTGATGACTTTATATCCATGCTCAGATGCCAAGGAGCTCAGAAAGCAACCAACGATGACTAGTAATAATCAGATATATAGAGATTAGAAACGCAAGTGCATCTTAGTTTCAGTTGTATTAAAAA